AAGATATATTTCTACTGCTTGATATGTATTCTGCTTGTATGCTTTGATATGTTACAGTGAGGCTCTGAAGAAGAACCCCGAATTGTCTACGGAAATTGTACAAATATTGCATAGGGAAAGTAAAAAAGAGTCGTTAGAATATCGACGTTATGCTCTAGAAGCGTTCGGCTCGGTTTTGCATGAATTGGACATTGATATGTTCAAGGAGGTCTATGAAATTGCTCAAGAAATTTGGTCTACGGTATGTATCGTTGGTGGCAGTCGTTTAATCGATGTTCCAGTTCGCTATATGAGAACTACGTGATTTAGTTATCGAGAAAAAATGAAGATGAACCCCTGGCGCCTGAAGAAAGAATGAAAAGGAACGATGTTATTGTGAAATTGCAAGAGACCGTTCATAGAACACTTGGAAAAGCTTGGCCGTCTTCAAAAGAAACTCAAGGTACGTTATTGTTACTTCAAAGTGTATACAATATATAGACGAAGAGATTTTGAAGGAATTAATGCCAAAGGTGGTAGATTTAATTAAATCTAGCGTCAATTTTGGAACGAAGATTACCTGTTCACATTTTATTGTTCTTCTAAGTATTCACTACAAGCAGGAATTACAACCTTACAGCAGTTAGTGATACTATAATATGTTCAATATTTCACAGGCTTGCAAATCATAATTTAATATTTATGTACTTAGGTAAAATTTTAAGTGCGTTAACGAACGGTTTGTCCGATCGTAATTCTGTCGTTAGAAAGAATAACGCGACGGCTATTGGACACGTAGTTGGATCAGCGAAAGTATCGAGCCTTGATAAATTATTCAAAACGCTTAATACGTGGTACATGGAACGAGGTATGAATCGGAAAACCCATCATTGATGGAACTGCGAAGATTTAATTAATCTTGAATTTCAGATGATTCGACCAAATTAACGATTGGGCATACACTACAAGCTATAAACAATTATAATCAGGAGATATTAAAGAATTATTCGAACATCGTTATACCGTTAGTCTTCTACGCGATGCACGAACAAAAGACACGAGGTTCGTACTTAATTTGCAAATTCAATTCAATGCATTTATTCACATTATTTACACAGAAAATGAAAACGCGATTGAACTGTGGACTGAACTTTGGAATGAAATAACTCCCGGGACCGAAGCCGGGCTTAAACAAAACATAGAATCAATAACAAATATTTTACACACTTCTTTGCAATCGTCGTCGTGGACTGCAAAAGCGCAAGCGGCTAACGCAATTCATACATTAGCGCAAAAGTTAGGCAATGACATTGATGCGACGGTGAGAAATGCTTTAATAAAGGTTTTAACAGATGGTCTTCGTGGGAGAACCTGGGAGGGAAAGGATCGTTTGTTAAACGCTCTTGCCACATTAGCGTGCAGGTAAAAAGATAAATCTGTCTTATATTCCAA